GACTGTGGTTCATAAGTTGGACTGCGTGCACCGGGTCAACAGTAACAGCCTGGTTGATCAGGCCTTGATCTTCCAGGCGGCCTGGTCTGAGACCGTGTCGCGGGGACATCGATCCCCGGAAACGTCATTCGGTTATCCTTCAGGTAACTGTTAGTCACCATTCTTCACTTGGCCGGCTGTACCACACACATTGCTGTTAGGGTTATTAAGGGCCAACACACCACAAGCCGAATTGAGCTCTAACGCCCGGCTCCCGGGGATAAGGAAGTTCTCAATCACGAGAGGACAGTAGAGGGCGTGGTGGCCCCTATAGCAAAGGAACAAGAATCCAGAGGACTCTGGTTAAAGATGTAAACAAGGAGTGGAAGTTCCATTTTAAAGCTGGCTGACTCATGAAGCGTCCATGACGGTGTAGGCGAGGGGAAACCTCGTGACAGACAGGGAAATTATAGCCAGCCCCATCCAGGAAAGGTAATGACAGGCGACTCGCGACAATCGGAGGACTCGCGAAAGATGCTTGCGAGCAGAATACACCACACGTGTTTTATGCTCACATTTCAAGGTGAAGGGCTCCTCAGCCAAGGAACTGGAGCTACCCTCCCTTTCCTTGGTTCAAGAATGTGCGCGCTCTTCGTGGAGATATTTGCAGAAACCTGTCCACATATTCAGGGAAGGGTGGGTTTAATTCCTTGGGCAGAGTCCACCACCAGCATGAAGGCACCCTCCTTGTAGGGAAATGATTTCCATTAAAAACCCTATAATGGTGAGCGGAGTGAAACTATATCTGGTATGAAGCCTACTAAGTGAGGAGGTAAGGAGAATCATAATACAAGTATAATTATCTCTTGGATGACTAATAAGTGCCCTGGGATATATTGTTTCACTTTGTTAGTTACCCGATATACACTACCAAGCCACGACTAATATTTAAACACTGAAGAATGAGTCATATCACTGTGAATTTTTAAATAATTAACAAGATAATCATTTGTGCACTCCGGAGTAACTACTGAATAAATGATGAGCTTAAATTCTGTATCACCCATATTTTTCTTTTCTTCATAGTGGCTCGCTGTTGGTATCACATCAGGCGTTGATACACTGATACTGGCAACCAATGATTACATTTTTTTTTCTAAAAAAAAAAAAAAAAATAAAAAAGTAGATAACTTGACAGTTTAATTAAATGAACTAGTATATTGCTCATTGTCAAGGGCTACGTGTACCGCTTCGTATCATTATATTAATGGAATACAAAACCGACAAGTAGACGAGTAAGACGTGCAACAGCTTGGTATTCTTAAGACGTTTCGTAGGTATAAGGTATGAAAAAGTATACGGTGGTATTTCCCTCAGCCTAGGTACTATTTTTCATAAATCAAAGATCCAGGACCAAAACTCTTTCCCTAAAGGTGTTCTAAGTTAATGATTTCGTATGCATTTCTCTCAGGTTGGCAGTCATTTGACTTCTTACCACAGCTCATGTCTTCATGACGCGGGGTAAGCCGGTGCTTGCTTAATCACCGACCTAGTCGATCAATTATCTACGACCAGGACTCATGAAACTTTTTCTTTCAAGCTAAATTTGCAAGTTAAGAGCTGTTATCCTACCTTAACTCAGTTATAGGTTAAGAGCTGTTATCCTACCTTAACTCAGTTATAGGTTAAGAGCTGTTTTCAAACCTCAGCTCATTTCAAATCCTCATAGGTTGCCAGCTATAATCACATAGCACCCAGGTACCTATTTACTACTTGAATAGGGGCAACAAGTTTAGGAAGGGAGCTATGACCAACGTCTCTATTCGCCCCGGTTAACCCTCCTCCCCCCACTAACCTCAGTCATATAGAAATGTCCCGGCTCAGGCAGATTTCATCAGTAGATGTAAGAAACTCATTCTGTGACGTAATATGACAGGGAAACGGCGTGCTTTATACCCACAGAGCGTAGGATGTCACCACACTGCGTCCAATAATAATATATATATATATATATATATATATATATATATATATATATATATAAATAACTGTTGATAAATTAGACACATGTGCAACTCTTGGGTATCTTTATTGAGGAAACGTTTCGCCAGACAGTGGCTTCATCAGTCCATACAAAGGAGAATCTTGAAGAACAGGAGGAGAATGAGGTAATCAGTCCCTCAGCCTTGAGTCGATGTGTTCAGTCCATCAATCTTGAATCTTAATACTTGGGAATTCTTCGCTTGCCTAATTCTTGGGCACGACCTACTTCCACATGAACAAATGTGACACTACCTATGACTGCTGCACCTCTCCTGCCAACGGTTTATAAGCTCCTTCTCCGCACGTATGCCGTTTTCTATTCAAGATTGATGGACTGAACACATCGACTCAAGGCTGAGGGACTGATTACCTCATTCTCCTCCTGTTCTTCAAGATTCTCCTTTGTATGGACTGATGAAGCCACTATGTGGCGAAACGTTTCCTCAATAAAAATACCCAAGAGTTACACATGTGTCTAATTTATCAACGTGTCGGTTCTCTGAACCATTCATCTACAAACATATATAACTGTAGCCGATGATAAAGAGTGGTGAGCCCATAGCCATGCCGTACGACTGCGGGAATAAATCTGTACCCAAAGAACCCCTCCTTCCTTGCACTGAATTTGATTGTCTCCCATTCCCTAGGCCCTAGGGTATGATCCCAGTGGGTTTTGTGCTTCCCCATAATAATAATAATTTACACATGAAAAGCGATGCATCTTTCTGAGCTATTCCAAGTAACCGGGGACAGTGGCCCCCCGATATGGTCTGCAGATCACCTTCATGTAACTCTTGCTTGGAAAAAAAACCTGAAGAGGCGAAATGTCTGAATCAAGTTTTTAATTACTGTTCATGTCTTTGTTTGCAGTTCGTTGGTATTCCCATACCATCTATTGTTACAACAGCGTACCCACGCAATGACGGTGTATCCAATTTTGCTTAAAAAAAAAATATCCAGCATAACAAGGTGGCGCCTGTGTGTCGCGGCAGTGGCTGGCATGTCGCCGGCCACTTCCTTATCCTCCCTTATCATACTAGTTGCAGCAGGTATATAAGGCTATTGTATGTGTACTTTCTCCTCGTGTAAGGCAGCTGGGGTTCTGCCTTAAGCAAGATAACTGATGCATTTTTGGTGTATATACAAAAGTTACATTGACAAAAGTTGCTGATTTGCTTCAGCATTGGAGAGCGCTTATTATAATAATAACAGAATAATAATATCATAGTAAGAATAAGTAATAATAAAAATAGTAATTATAATAAAATAACTGGGAAATAAAGAAAGCAGCGATACGAATATGGCGGCGTTATCTCATGTTATCATTAGGCACGATACGTTTATCAGCCTGGAGGACCACCACACGTGAGAAGGGAGAGGGGTAGGGGATAGAGAAGGAAAGGGGGAGAGGAGAGGGAAATGGTGGGGTGAAGGAAGGATCAGGGTGGGGGGGGGACAGATTGAGATAAAATGGGGAGGAGGGGTGCACAGGTCATGATCAACACAAATAACAGGTTGTTAAGATACCTTTTTTTTTCATTGTTAGGATACTTTTGCTTGAAGCTAGGATGCCTTTTTTCTAAATTTTATTATCTGATAGTTGCTATGATTACGAACAGCTGAACCTTACATGTAAAGACAAGTTCCCTACAAGTTTCAGCAACACTGACTTATTCGATAACACTTACCGTTGATAACATCCTAACAATTATCTGTACCAACAAGGGAAATACAGGATTTTATATTATCTTTATGCTGAGAAAAATGCTAGGCTAATATTTGTTTCATAGATGTTAAACTGCATTTATGTATAACACCAGGAAACAAAAGAGCATCCGAACGACTAATATGTATAATACAAGAAAAAGGATTAACCGAGCCATTAACGTATAATATAAACAAGAGCATCTAAACCATTTACGTATAAATTACACGAAACAAAAGAGCAATCGAATCATCTGCGTATAGTACAAGCAAATGAGAGCACCCGAACAATCATACTGTATTTAGGACCACTTTGGATAGAGAAGTTAAAGTTTATCAAGAGAAATTGAAATATTTCTCCCGACACGGGTCTTAGTCAAATGACGACCCACTCTGTGGAGTGCTTAATCAACTGACAAAGGATTTTCACTGACTTATCGGTCCACCTTGTCAAATTTGTACATCAAACAGAGAGATGTGATGACATTTTTTTTTCACGCCATGTTTACAAACATAGGATCACACTAGTTAAGTGTCTTATGATCCACTCCTGGGGAGGCCTCGTTGATACAGTTTTTTTTTTTTTCAAAGTTCCTTTGCCAAATATGAATATGTTTGTTCTATTGAGCTAATACAGAATAACATCCACTACAGATCTACACACACTACTAAGCTAAAAGAGCCCGGAATGTTCAGTATAACCAGAGGAGTTCTTCCAAGTGTACTATTAAATATCATCCAATTTATAAAACAATATACATGTAAAAATATGTTATCACAACTTTTAATTTGCAATTCGGGATTAAATATTATCTCTTAAATTCCTTTGCTCTTTTTTTATTTTTTTTTTGTCCCACAAGCCTTATTTCTCTCCCAAACCCTTTTAAGATAGTGATTTGATGCTAGAGAGCTCTTGACCAAAGGAATCAAACCTTCCATTCCTCAAGGCGCTGTATGAATTGTGTTCAACTTTTTTTCAAGTATTTGAGGAAATTGTTTTTTCCACTAAAATAAAAGATAGTTAGGGCTAAAAACTATTAAAACTGCCTAACGTAATTAAGTTATAAGGGACTTTATGGTCCCAGACTGTTTAAAATGTCATTTAGTATTGTCTTCATTTTATAGGTTGTGAAAATTTTAAGCATTTAGCATCAGAGCTTCCCCTTAATGCAACTCCCCCCCCCCCAGTTTCATCCTACTCTATCGCTGTGAATTTCCACCGATTACTGAAGGTGTAACGTAACAGTTCATCATGAAGTCGCTGCAGAACTGACCTTGGAGGGCACATATGGGACACGTCTCTGACTTGAAGAGACAGGAGTAGCACCTCTCATGGCCACACTGGTCGATTAACTTCCTCTTCTTGCCCTTGTCGAACGGCATCCTGCAGTTAGGGCAGATTCCGCCCTCCCGGAGCTTGGCGTAGATATCTGAAGGTAGAGAGCAATAGTTATATCTGGCACCAGACCACATACATCAATAAATAATAAATTATCTTGAACATTTGACAGCATAATAACCAGTGTGATATGTCTAGCTGCCTTATTAATAAGATACCAGACATTTTAAGTAAATATCCTCAATTTGTTTGCAAACAGATAAACATGACTTGTAAATACATATATATTTAAATGTATACTTTGTGGATCAATATGCTCTTGCGCTACCATCCACAGTATAGATATGAATAAAAACTTACAAGACGATAAGATATATGATTAAAAAACACTATTAATGACTTTCACTTCAGAATTGATGTTACTCTTCACAGAAATGTATAAATTCTCTATAAACGTTAGTTTTAATGAAAAAAAATCAGTATTCTACCACATGGCCTCACCAAATGAAGTGAAGGTTATGTTCTCAGGAGTAAACTGGATAATTATCTCCACCATATGCCAGATCAACAAGACTGTGATGAATATGTGGGCCAGTGGACATCCACCAGCAACAGCCTGGTTAACAAGGCAAACACAAAACGAGCCTGGTTCAAGACCGGGCTTCAGGAGTAGAAAAACTCACGAAACTCATCAAAGGTATATGAGGTGTCGCAATAATACTGTGTACAGATCTTTAATAAATATGGAAGTATAAAATACTAAAAATATTACAAACATATAAATCTACTACTGGATGGCACTTCAAGGAGGTTCCTTGATGCTCCCCCCTCAAAAAAAAAAAAAATGGACTTGTTCTCCTGTTCCTTAGATCGAAACTAATTCTCTTACATTCTTCAGCCTCGTCTCTCCTTGCTTAAAATAACAGTCATAATCATTGTTATTAAGTACTTATAAAGCAAAATTAGATAAATGTACCTATTCCTCCCCCTTCCCACGTGGAGGGATATCTCCGTAAATATATATAGTTACTGATTTTAATACCAATATGCCCATATTTGGAATTCTTTATTAGGGGCCCCTCAAAGGAGGTTCCTTGATGCTGGTGAGGGGCTCTTGATCTAGGGAATTGGATCTGTGCTCCAGTTCCCTGAAATGAGCCTGAATGCCTTCCATCCCCCCACAGGCGCTCTATAATCCTATAAGGGTTTTACGCCCTCATGATTATAATAATAATCTTTATTAAGCATAAAAAGGTGACGTGCAGCCTTACTAACTACTCGCAAAAGCCTTCGACAAGCGAGTCATAGTGTGAGTGGACAAAATGCGCGCAAACAGAATAACTGGTAAAGTGCGCAGATGGATATTTAACTTAACAAACAATTTAGGCGGCGGCGGCGACGGCGGCGACGGCAGCGACGGCAGCGACGGCAGCGGCGACGGCAGCAGCAGACAGAGTGAAGTCGGAGGTTGCGGCAGTGGAAAACTCTCTTACTCAAGGTAAAATACTCGTGCTTGTCTCATTCTTACATCCGACACAGACATGGACATACATCGTAGTACCGTAACATCCTTTCCGATGACACCATAGTCACAGAGTGGCATCCGTCGAAGGCACAGCGAATCTTCAAGAGTATATAGCCTCCAGTGAGCCTCAGAAAACAATATGTTCTATGAGGACAAGTTTCAGTTGGTTTCGTATGGAAGACTGGAGGAAATGAGACTAACGGAGTACAGGACAAAATCAAATCATTCAACAGAACAGAAGTCCAATGTACGAGACTTAGGAGTAATGATATAGATGATCTCACATTCAAGGATCACAACAATGTTGCTATTGCTACCCCAAGGAAAATGATAAGCTGGATAACTAGAACTTTCAAGACAAGAGATGCTGCTCCAATGGTGATACTTTTCCAGTCACTTATTCTCTCCAGGCTGAAATACTGCTGTATACTGATGGCCCCTTCAAGGCAGGCAAGACTGATAAGGAGAACTTTCACTGCTCATATACGCTCACTCAAACATTGAAACTAATGGGATAGGGGAAGCCTAAGTCCCTTCAACTGTAATCCTTGGATAGCAGGCGAGAAAGGTGCATCATAATTTACACCTGGAAAATCATGGATTGGTCCCAAACCTGCCCACCAGAATTAGTGAATGTTGCAGACGGTGCAAAGTACCTTCAATAAAAAGCAGGGGTGCGACAAGTCCACTAAGAGAGAAGTCACTGAGTGTCAGAGGTCCCCGACTCTTTCAACACATGAATAAGGCAAATTACCAGCAAACTTCTGCCTCTTTTCAAGAAGGAACTTAACAACTTCACTCAATTCATGAGCAGCCGGGCTGTAGTTTCATATATTGAACTTCCTGTGGTCCAGCAGTAACCAAACCAGGAGACCTGGTCTGGGACCGGGCCGCGGAGAGATTGGCCCCCAGAAGCATCCTTCAGGTATCCTCGTGCATCGACAGGCTTTAAGCCCAATTAACTAAACAAAAACAAATCATTAAGAAAACGCTTCGCTGAAATTTGAGGGGCAACTGTGTTTGATGCATGGAAGATTTGAAAGTGTGTCAGGGTGCGAGGCGGACATACCACCTACGTGTGAGGAATACTGTCAATATTCTCACCAATGTGCTGACCACTACAACAAACACTTCTCCCTCCCTTGCTGCTACAGCCCACATTGATAATGTTTCTCACACAGCCATAGCGTAATTTTTTTTTATCACGAAGAGGATGCAGGTAAGTAACGTAAATCAAATGACTAGATAAAGTCTGATTACCAAGAGGACTCTTATTACGAAGACAGGTATAGTATGGCCTGCGACCTGGTCGCAATTGGATTCAAAGTGGAGCAAACAAAACTTAACAATAGTACATGACTTGTATTTTCCTTCAAAACAAACTGACAGTACTTACAAGTATGTACACTATGTACAGAGGTGGAACAGTGTACCACACGGTGACAAAAGATGACAAAAGCAGAAGCCAGAGAAAGCACCGTGCTCAACCAGCAGCTCAGGCAAGTCGTGTCAATTCGCTTGGCACAAGTGAACCACGTTGCTTCAGTTTTGGCAGGCTTGTCTGTGATTGGTCAATGAACCAAGGTACTGATTTAACGACAGGTACCCTATTGATCGTTAAACCTTCAGCACCCGAATTCGCTGGCTGGGAGGCAGCCTATATGGGAGTGTGACATACACCGAATTAAATGTAACATACTCGTAGCATGCCACAACTATCGTGAGTACTTTTCCATCCAAGGGCCTATCTTATTTATGTTCCTTTGATGGGTTTTGCGAGTTCTCCTACTGCAGCCAGGCTTGTCTGTTGCTTACTTGGTTGACCAGGCTGTTTCTGTTGTATTAACCGTACTGATGTAAACAGTGTTCCAGCAACTGAAGATGGCTAGCAACTCTCAGAGTAGCTCCTACAAGGAAGGGAGGCGCCTTGATGTCGCTGAGGGGCTCTTGATACTATGAACGGGGCTTATGATCCCATTCTCGCGGCGCTACATGATCCATACGAGTTTAGCGCTTCTCCTGATTAAAATAAATCCACGTTCTATCAAGCACCTTAACTACTGGGAACGCTTGGAAGCACTGGACTTGTATTCGTTGGAAAGCAGGAGATATATCATAATCTACACTTGGAAAATCCTGGAAGGAATGGTCCCGAATCTGCACACAGAAATCACTTCCTACGAAAGTAAAAGACTGGGCAGGCGATGCAAAATACCCCCAATTAAAAGTAGGGGCGCCATTGGTACACTAAGAGAAAACACCACAAGTGTCCGGGGCCCAAGACTGTTCAACAGCCTCCCACCAAGCATAAGGGGAATTACCAATAAATCCCTGGCTGCCTTCAAGAGAGAGCTGGACAGATACCTAAAGTCAGTGCCGGATCAGCAGGGCTGTGGTTCATATGTTGGACTGCGTGCGGCCAGCAGTAACAGCTTGGTTGATCAGGCCTTGATCCACCGGGAGGCCTGGTCGTGGACCGGGCCGCGGGGGCGTTGGTCCCCGGAATAACCTCCAGGTAGACTCCAGGTAAGGCGAAACAGTTTAAAGTTTTATTTTTTCAATAAAGCATACATTAAATAACTAGAATAATTACCATAATATATAAAATTTCTTTGTTGAAATGCTAGCTCACGCGAACCTACATTACCGAATTAGAAAATCTAACACACATGTTGTGGAGAGTGAATGAGAGAGGGGATTGGGTGCATGGATGAAATAACCTGGTCCTAGAGGGTACACGAACAAAAAATCTGAGACCCACTAGACTAGGCAGCACCCAGGGCAGCCTCATACTCTGTAATTTGTGTCAGGCTACCGCATGAATGATTGCAGCAGCAGATCAAATTCAGTTCCAAATGCCTGGTTTATAAAGGTTTAAATCCCATATTCCCACGAAAAACCCTACCAGAGGCTGAACATTTTGGGACGCACGGAAGGTCCGGCGGAGGGTTGTGGGGGTCGAATTCCTGGAAACCTACCTTATCATCAGCTTCCGTACATCTGGGAGTGCAAGATGGTATTTCTTCACCTATTTTACCACAGTTGACCACTATTACATCAAACCACTACCATAGCAGACCACCACCACAGCATATCAAACAATGACACAAAATATGAAGAGATGATATGACCATTGCTGAGGTGGGAACAAAGAGAGATAGGTTGAATCACCTCACCTCCCCCCCAAAAAAAACCGTTAAGTTTTTCAAATTCTTAAATAGGTTAGGTAAATTGTTTATATAATATAGAAATTTTGGCAATCTTAGGTTAGTATGCTAGGTTAGTGTTGGTGCAAAATTAATATTTAGCAACACAAAATTTGCATAACTTTAGTTATGCTCTTGGAGCACCACGGGAGGAGAAAGCAGAGAAAGGTGCCGACACCTCCGAACTGGACACAAGAAAAAGTGGGGACTGGAAATTAAGAGCCTAAGTATGCATGAGGAATCTCTTACAAAACTAGTGAATGTGGTAATACTAGCCAGGAAATTAGACACCCTGGTATCAAGAAAAAATACTGATCAATGTAGAAAAATGGTATAAAATACCGACATGAGGAAAAGAGA